GTACGTTGACGCCAGGTTGTTCATGCTGGTCAGCGTGGAAGGATGGTCTACCCCGAGTTTCTTCTTGCGAATCTCCATTACTTGCAAAAACTGCTTTTCAGCATCCTCCCATTGACCTCTGAGGTTGTGTGCTAATGCTAACATTTCCATGCTACTCAGAGTGTCCTCGTGCTCTTGGCCTAATGCTTTCCTTCGTGCTTCGAATGACTTGACAGAGAATAGTTTAGCGTCAACTACGCTCCCTTTCCCCCACGAATACTCTGCCGCACGATAGAGCAGTGTGGCCCATTCTGCTAACGTGGATTCCTCTGGCTTCTGCGCGGCAGCCGACTTGGCGTGAGTGAACAGTGTCTGACATACTGCCCAGTTCTCGTATTCGCCTGTCGGAAACTCTGCGTAAAGATTCTTGACAAACTGTTGTTTCCACCGATCAAGCTCGCCATATTCTTCAAGCCATTTCCGCATCGCTACCTGGACTAACGCATGCATTCGAAAGGTTTTCCCATCCACGTTGACGGATATAAAGGAAAAATTTCGTAGTGCTAAAACATTGTCTTCAAACTCATCATCGCCAGCGCTAGATTGCGATAGAGTATCTTCTTCATGGCTAATCAATTCATTATCTTCTTGACCTTTGTGATTTCCCTGAGCCTTCCCATGCTCAGTTCGATTTCGAAGCAGGTTCTCCGGGATTCCTTGTCCGTCAAAAAAGCTCATAAGCGAGAGCAAGTTGGCTGCTGACGGTCTGGTTTTATGGATATAATCGAAAGATATTTTCCAGGTAATGATGATAGAGTTCTTTGCTTCCCAATCGCGACGAAGATGTCCCTCGTTACGATTAAGAAGACTTGTTCTCTTGTAGTCGCTCTCCTTGAACTTTGCAAGGTAATCTACTACCGAACATCTTGGCGCCCTCTTGGAGATATATGCTGCCGCTTGGACAATAGCAAGCGGCAAGTGCTCAAGCGCCGCTGCGAGCTCGGCAATACCACTGCTGACATGATGCACTCCTAATTTCTTCTCGAAGAGCGCCAGCGCGTCCTCCTCGTCCATTGGACCCACAGAAATGATGTCACACCCTTCAACTAGTTTCAATGCTGCGTCCTTGTTCCGCGTTGTTATGAGAATCGAGCCACTCTGACAGTGGGGAAGGTATTCCCGCAGGGGTTTAGAAGCGGTGGCCGAGTCGGTAGGTTGCCTTTGGTCATAAACCGGAGCATCGAGAAGAAAACAAGCATCGTCAACATTATCAAGAATGAGCAACCACTGCCCTTTGCTATCGCACAACCAATCATACACGAGCTTAAATATATTAGCCTCAGGGTTCTGCCGTCCGGAGATCTTAACGCGGTCGGCAATCTCGCGATAACCCTGCTCAAACCGGGATGCATTACCCGCGTGGACCCAGAAAACCCACGTCTCAGACGATCGTTCACGGGTCCGATACGCAAATTCAATGGCAAGTTGCGACTTGCTTATCCGCAGTCAGCAATCGGCATTAGTGGAGCTGGTTATGCTAACCCTACGCCACCCAGGCCGACGAGTGCAGTCCGTGAACCGGGCATAGCACATTGTTCGTGAATCTGATTGAGGATGATACTTCGTTTGACGAAGTCTTTGTCGCGACTGAAGGGTATCGCGGCTGATGGGCGTGGTGGAGTCTCGGGTCGATCTTTGGCGGGGCTATCGTGAGCACCTTCTTGAACCCTTAGGACCTCCTTCGACTTACCGGATGGGAAGCTGAACGTGGTCGGGGCGTTGAACGGACCAAAGTGAAATTTATTATCCCCGAGGTGAGCTTTGGCACCACCGCCGATGTAGAGTTCCCGGTACGTGTGCCCATATGCGTTTCCATTAACATTCCCACGGTCCAGCAAGTTCGGGTAGGACATTTGCCTCAATCATTGGCAGAGAGAAAGCTGAAGAATTAGGGTTGAGGATCGTTGGGTCGGGCAATGGCCCCCTTGGCCACGTAGGCACTTTCCTAGGGCTTGGCTCAGCCGCTAATCTATTGTGTGCGTGAATCCGTGCAATGTCTTGGCATTCGCGTTGCGTCTTTTCCGCCTCACCAAATCTCTAAGAACTTTAACTTAGCGACAATTTACCCCTATATATTCCTAAATATCTGCTATTTTCGTTAAATCTTAAAGGTGTACATACTTCTTAATTAAGAAATTGTCGCGTATACTGAGAGCTACGGTGGTCTCGCCTTGGCTAGGGCTCGGAGCCTGGTCCGCGGCTCGGGATCTGGAGATAGTTTGTTCCGAAGCTCGGTGTATATAAGGAGAGCCTTCAACTCTCTTAGATAGCAGAGTCACTTTATCCGATCTTCTGAACAGCTATTGCCAAGCTATTTTATCCTCTATAGAAATAATAAAGCTAAATTTTAAAAGTTTAAAATAGGTTTTAGTTGTCACGATTGTGCACGAGTAAGGTTATAGAGCTTCACAGAGGTCTAGTTTAATTACTACGTAAGGTATTATAGTAGGTACAAGACATTATGTAAGGAATAGAAAAGTTTAAGAAGAAATTAGTAATTAAATACTTAGCTTAGAAGTCTAAGCGCTTTAAGTATAAATTAAGCCTATTCTAAGTTTAGTTAGTGTTAAAGCAGTTTATGCTTAAGTTTATGTCTATGTTATATTATGTTTATGTTAGACATGCACTAATAATACTCTAGTACATGTCTAATATAGTTATGTCTAGGATCTAGGGAGGATACTGTAACAGTACCCCCCCTTTTATTAAGAAGGGAATTCTTTACATTAGTAGTTCTAGCATTAAGTTGTCTTTATTAGAGTACAGGTTTAGTTTAGATAAGTATTAAGTGTAGAATTAAGTTACTGTAGAGTTTTTTTATAGAGCTTCTGCAGGTTCCTACAACAGTTTGTTGTATCTAGTTTATTTTATAAAGTATTTATAAATATGTTTCTTTTTATTAAACTAGATCTATTTAATGTTTTCTACAACATATTTTAGTTTATTATTTATAATAATAGGTTTAGGTAGCAGGTTTAGCTATTTAAGTAGATAGTTAGATTTAGAGGCTACTTAGCGCAGTAACAATACATAGAACACAGAGTGTATCTTTATGCTGTTAGGTAGGATTAATTAGTAAGCATGTAATAAAACTATATAAGCTACTGTAAAAGGGCTAAAGTTCTTCTAATTAAGTTTCTTTAATTATTAGTTTATTTAGATATTTCTAGTGTCTAGCTAGACCTTCTTACTAGCTGCATACGCAGGGGTAAGAGTTTAAAATTAGTTTATGTACTCTTATTAAAAAGCTTAAGCTTATGTAAGCTTTTTATAAACATATTTAGATATATTTTAGATTTTATTAATAAGTCTATTTATGTCTATTACTTATATAAATTAATAAGTTAGTTAGGGGGTATTTATAAGTAGTTTAAATCTTATTTAGGGGTAGTATCTATAGTTTACTAAGAACAGAGATACTTATGTTAATTTAGATATTATGTTATTAGCTTTAAACTATGCTATAGCTAACTATTTTACTTAGTTGTCCTACTAGTAGTTTATGTACACTTATAAGACTTATTTTATTACAGCGTTTATATTCTTAGTCTAGCTGTTAGTCTCTAGGTAAAAAGCTATAGATAGATAAAAGATAATTTAGAGCTGTTTATAGAGTTTGTCTTAAAAGGCTAAGACAAACTGCGTACCTCTGTCTAATATAATTATGTTAGGCAGGCTATAGTAAACTTATACATATTAGTAGAATAACTAGGCTATATTAGAGGCAGTTATAAAAGAATATAGTATTAAGTGTTAATACTTAGTTAAGTAATTAACAACTACTATAATATTTATATACTCTTTAGATAAGGGTAGGTTTATAATAAAATTAATTAATATGTCTTTCTAAGCTTATTTAAAAATTAAGAGTAGTTTAAGCAGGCTATTATACCTTTCTTAAAAGGCCTTTACTTTACAGTAAGTATAGTAACATAATACATATTAGCGTACAGTATAGAACATGCGGGGCTAGTAGTACTCTCTCTGTAGTAGGTTAAAAGTCTTTTCTCTGCCTAGGTGTCCTCTAACAGGCAAGTTGTGTATAATTTAAAGTAGTTTAATTCTTAGTTTATTAGAATTAGAGATTATAAGTTAGTTATAGTAATATAGCTTACTATTTTAGTTTTTATAGTTAGCTAGTGTTACCTTCTTTAACTAACTAGCGCTGTTTTAGAGTAGGTCTAAAGTTTTTTAAATAAATTTATTATTTAGATACTTATTAGTAATAATTTAATTAATTATCTAATCTGTTTTGTTTAGGTTAAAGTCTAAAAATAGCTTAAGTTAGAGCAGAGTTTAGTATTAAGCCTTTTACGCTTTTTCTTAAGCAGGGACGTCTTAGGATTGCCTTATAAGGGCATCTAGTTTCCCTTTATTTTAACTAGGACAATAAGTAATCTTAAAATTAAAACAGGACAGGTATTTAGACTAATAGGCTTGTTAGTAGCTAAGTTATTTTATAGTTGCAAAGTACTGCAAGTTCTTGTAGTTAGATACAGTCGCCCACAAAAAGTCTATTAACAGCACTAAATTGCCTAAAAACTAGCCCTCTATACATAAAGCCTTTCTACTTAATATAGGTAGTTAATTAAAGCTCTTTTTAGAGTCATAATTAAGGGATACTTATAGTAGCCTAATACCTTGTCTGCCAGCCCTTAGCCTTCTGTACTGCCTCTAAACGCCTTAGCATAGACTCTATAAGCTTGTAGATTAGTAAATTAGGTATTAACTTCTATGCCTCCTTTAATGCCTTGTAAAATTAGTTCTATTTATCTTTTAAAGTGCCTATTATTTAAAACTTAGGGTGTAGTTTGTGGACAAGTTATTTAAGGGCCTACTAAATATGCTTAATTAGATTAAGGTTAGGTAAGTAAGGAGGCTACTTTATAGTCTAAATCCTGTGCTTCTCTAAGAAGACCTTTGTTACTTAAGCGTTGTAAATAAGAGCGTTATCTTGCATAAAGATCTGCCTAGGCCTATAGTAAGGTAGGAGGCCCTGGCAGAGCGTTTTTATGTACAAATCTGCAGAGTAGCCTCTGCACTTAGCCTTAGGGTCCCTCTTTATAATAACTAATTCACTCCTGCCTACTCTGCTGTTACTAGTTACCTAGATTGCTCTCTAGACTATCTAGCTCTTCCTCTTTAATTTAGCTTTTTGCTGTATTATCTGTAGGGCCTATCTCTTATTATTGTACTAGAAACACTACTTAGCATCTGCCTCTAAGCCTAGCTTAATTAAACATTTATTACTAAACTTAACAGCCCTCCTCCTCTAGTTAAAGTAATAATATTACTAGTAAAATTTAAGCCTTAAAGCTGTGTGCCTAGCGTTTATTTTAGGCCTCTTCTTATAATAGTAATTAGTAAGGCCCTCTTTCTTAAGCAGATTGTAGATAGTGTTGTAATAAGAGTAGGTAGTGCTATGTATAAGGCCTGCTGCCTTTATAAGCGTTTTGTACTGCATTTTTAAGAATTTTTGTACTAGTTAAATAAGTAGTTGTTTCTGCTGCCTTAATATTATAGGAGGACGCCTAGAGTGAGGCATAGAGGTGAGTTAGTTGTGCTCTTTCTAGCGCTTAATAGTTAATGCGATACACTAGCAAGTGCAGCTAAATTCCTTAGCTAAATCCTTTTGCGTCACACTAGCCTTAAGCTTAGAAACAATTGCTGCGCGCGTTGCAGGCAACAATTTGCTATTGCGCATTTAATTTCTGCTAATTTCCTGCCTAAAAGAACGTCGCATGGTGGCTATAGGTGGTGTTAAAGGGGGGGTGCATACACGCGTTAATGCGCGTTGAGGGGTCGCGCACAGTTCATGTTAACAGACTTTTTGTGGGCGACTGTAGGACCTGTATTAGATGCGCTGCACCTTCTAGTTTAGGTTGCTATTGTTTAAAGCAGCGTACTATAGTAAGCAATTCCTTGTTATAGATCTTATAATTGCCTTCTGCAGGACTTATTCTTTTTAAAAAGTATGCAATAGGCCTAATAGTCCTGTCTAGCTCAGTCTAGAAGAAAACTCCTGCTACTACGTAGTCTAAGGCATTAGCTTCTACAAGTATTAGTAGTTTAGAGTTAAAGTAGCAGAGTATTAAAGCTTTAGTAAAGGCTTTTTTTAGCTAGTTAAAGAACTATTAGTAATTTAAGTTAAAGTTAAATTAAACCTTTTTTTTAGTAATTGCAATTATAGGGCTTACTAGCTATAAAAAGTTATTAATAAATTATTAGTAAAAGTTAGTAAATCTTATAAAAGCTTAAACATTCTTTATATTCTTTAAGTATTGCTAATCTAGCATAGTCTAAACCTTAATAGAGTCTATTTAGATGCTATCTATAGAGATTACATATCCTAAATATATAACCTTTAATTAGTAGAACTTGCATTTATCTATGTTAAGTTACAGACCTACTTCTTTTATAGCCTTTAGCACTAGGCGTACATGCTGTTTATGCTCTAAAAGGCTATTACTATAAATTAGAATATTATTAATATACATAGTGCAGAACATGTCTAGGTAGGGTTAGAGTAAGTTGTTTACAAAATGTTAAAAAGTACTAGGCACATTAGCTAAGCTAAAGGGCATTACTAGGTACTTAAATAGTCTATATTAGGTCTAAAACGCTGTTAGCTACTTATTACCCTTTACTATTCTTAGCTTATTAAAGGTAGTAATAATATTTAACTTTATAAAATACTTTACTTTACTTAGTTAGCTTAGGGTTTTTTATAAAAAAAAAATTAAGTATTAGTTTTTAATAGTAACAGCATTTAGTCTTTAGTAGTTAACATAGAATTAAAGCCTACCTCTAAGTTTCTTTATAAATAGTATAAGTAACACTACTAGTAAAAAGCTAGCTTAAATAAACCCTTTTTTTAGGTTCTTATTAAAGTATTTTTAAAGCACTTTTAATTTATTTAGTAACATTCTATATAGTAGCCTATAACTAAGTTGTTTACTAGGCTTAAGAGTTATCTAGTAATTATATAGACATTATATTAAAAGCTTATTAAACTTATTTTAAAAAAAAACATGTAATAAGTTATAGTAGTCTTAAAAAACTATTATTTTTAAGTTAGTGTATTTTTAAAGAGCTAAAGCTTAGTCTATATTAGAAATTATAACTACATAGATTTTATAATCTAGTTATTAAGCTAGAGTTATAAATAAAGTAGGTTCTATGTAGCAAATGTCTATCTACTGTTTAAGTCCTAGTTTGTGTCTAAATTAGGTAAGTAAAGGTTTTTTAAAAGCTTTTTTTTCTTTAAGTTTAAGTAGTTATTAAATTATTTTACATAGCCTATCTTAGTAAAAGGCCTATCTTATTAGCCTTACTTAAGTAGTTCTTCTCTAGGTTATTAGAGAGTAAGTTTAAAAACCTTTTATATTAAGTGCTATTTAAGTGTTGTTTAAGTGTAAGTGTAAGTATACATTTTAGCATTAAAAAAAGTTAAAGTTTAAAACTTACTTTTAGTAATTAAAAGCAACTTTATGCTAATACAGCTATAGTTGTTCTAGGATTAGGTTATAACATTTTATGTTTATTATATAGAGTTTAATCTGCTTCTTATAGTGTTAGTAAGTAATTATAATAGTTATAGTATAAAAGATAAAACCTTTTTTAAGTTATTTTCTATTAAATCTAGTTAAGTAAATTATTTAAGTAAGTAGTGTTAATTAAAGATTTAGTTTATATGCTAGTTTTTTATTAATATAACTTATGCTGTTTACTTCTAAGTTAATAAGAGCTTATATTAAAGCTAATATAGTTTTTTATTATAAATATATAGAAATATTAACTTAGTACTTTTAGTTATTAGTAGGGGACTTAGCTTATAAGTTAGCAGAGATCTAGTGTTAAATTAGTCCTAAAAGGTAACTTAGCCCTAAGACAAGCCTTTTTACAGGCTTTTACTACTATAGCTGCAGCTATGTTAAGAGTAGCAAAAAAGATTAAAGCTTAAATATAAGTTAAAGCCCTTATAAAAATAAGATTAAAATAGTAAGAATTTTTAATAAGTGCTAGTAGCACTACTTACATAGACTTAAAAAAGGGGAATAAAGTAGTTTTAAAAAATATAACTATGCTTACTATACTTAAAGTATTAACTTTTTTTTTTATAATTTTTACACTTTCTAAAACTAACTAACACATAATTTAAATTAATTTTTATTACATTAAGGTTCTTATTTGCAACTGCGCTAGTTTAGGGGTGTATTAGAGCTTGTATAGGGAGAAACTTTATGTTATTATTATAAGTAGTAATTAAGTTTACATACACATTAAAGTTGTTTAGAAGGGGTTCTTTTACTATAGTGTGTTACAGTTTAGTTAAGAGAGAGTTATATAAAGCTATAATTAAACCTATCTTATTTAGGCCTATATTAGATGTAAGTTAGTAAAACTTAGTAAAGTGTAAAGTAAAGCTTTTTTTTATTTATTATAAAGTGTTTAAGTAACTTAAAGCTATTAACTTTTTATTTAAGTCTTTATAAGTTACTTATAAAAACACTATAAATTAATCTAAGTTAATAATATCTTTATTTATTAGTAAGTTAATTAAAGCTATTATGTTATAGTTAAGTTAAAAGTAGGCATATAGTAACTAAAAGCGTTTAAAGGGGAATTAGTCTACATTTCCTTTAAGTTTGTATTAGAGCTTATATAAAAAGAAAGGTAGGTCTTTCTGTTTTTTATTAAATAGTAAGGAATTAGAGAGTTAGTTAGATTTTATTACTAAGTTAAAAAAGTTATAAGTTATAAGTAGCATTAAGTAAAAAAAAGTTAAGCTATTTTTAGACTTCTAAGTAAGCTTTAAGGCTAGTAAGTTCTTAGTTTTTACTACTATAACAAAAGTTAAAGCAGAAATAGACTATTTAATAATATAAAGCTGTTTTTTAAAGTTTTTTTAAAAAGCTTTAAAGCTTATAACATAGTAGCTTTCTTATAAAGTAAGCACTTTTTAAAAGGCTTTTTAGCTTACTTTAATAGCTTAGAGTTATGTAAGTACTAAGCTTATTAAATTAGATTTAGAGGCTATTCTTAGCTAGAGTTTTAACACAACATAATGTTATAATTATATATAAGTAAGGTTATAGAGCTTTACAAAGGTCTAGTTTAATTACTACATAAGGTATTATAGTAGGTATAAGACATTATGTAAAAAATAAGAAAGTTTAGAAGAAAATTAGTAATTAAATACTTAGCTTAGAAGTCTAAGCACTTTAAGTATAAATTAAGCCTGTTTTAGGTTTAGTTAGTGTTAAAGCAGTTTATGCTTAAGTTTATGTCTGTGTTATGTTGTGTTTGTGTCAGACGTTCACTAATAATACTCTAGTACACGTCTAATACAGTTATGTCTGGGATCTAGGGAGGATACTGTGACATTAGTAAACAATTTTTTAGCTAAAAAGCTATTGCTAAAGCAGCTATGTGTTTAACAAGACGGCGGCCAGGGGAGTTAGGATACTGCGCGACCAGCTCTTCCTAATCAGGGTAGATAACGCCAACCGGCTAGCGGTGCTGTCAGAGGAAGGACAAATCTGACCAGGAGCGCCAGAGGCCCTTAGGGCTAAAAACAGGGTGCAGGTAGCAAAAGTTAGCTAGCTAAGTAGAAAGGATTTAAGAAAGGCATATAGATTAATAGTAGTGTATGTTACTAAAGGCAGTAATGCAGCCTAGCTGCTACAAGAACAGTACTTTCACATTAATAGAGAGTCTGTATACACAAGACTGTTTAAACCGCGAAATAGACTATTGTAGTGCTACTAATGCTAACAGCTAGGGCATAAGGCATTCACATGCACAAGGCAGCGCGTTTATGCTAGGTGCGCTAGCAAAGGACACTACTACAGCAAATGCTAAGTGATAGTCTCTAAATGTGTACTCTGTAGGGGCCTCTATAAATCTTTTTTTAAAAACTAATAAGTGCTATATCCTAGTTAGAATGCCTAGGATGCTTAAGATATTCTAACTTAATATAGGAAAAAGACATAAGGTACTACATAGTGTAATAAATAATAAGTAACTATAAGACTTTACTATATTAGCTATTTAAGAACCTTATGCGTAGAAAAACAAAGAAGA